CAAGAGAAACAAACAATCCTGATGCTGTTCATACGCGTGCTGTGCTCGGATACGTCGACACGGGTGAATCAAGTCTATTTATAGCACACTCTCAAACGTTGCTCTGTATTGATCTCCTGGTCCGCATTGACTGAGGTCAGGACTGGACAGAAGTCCGCTCCTCAAACGCAACAATGATAAAGAGACAGGGATCTTCAAAACTTCCAGTGGCGTATTGGAGCTCATATGGAGAAATAGTAGGCCTATCCCCCGTGGCGGTGCTACTGACTGAAGTGTCTCTGTAGGCCATTCCCAAATGGGGGACATTTACTTGTTCTTATGCGCAGTAGAATTGTAAATGGGCTGATTCATCAATGTCATGCTCATAACTGTGCCGGAACTGCATATGGGGAACTGCTGCTTTTTTCTTTCTTTATTCTTACTATCGTCATTTTCCGTCTACTTCTTTTGTATGTTTGTCACTCTCTTGTAACCCGCTATTTCTGGGGTACCTTGATAGTCGAAGCAGACTTTGTGCTGTCCCTGTATGGACTTCTCTGTTGACATCCACCCCTTTGCGCTCATATGACCTTATGCAGTTGCGAGTGCCGTTAAGACTCTACACAAACTTCAAACTATAAAAAAAAACTATCTGGCCAGAGCGGAGTTGGATCAGTCATACTGTACTCCATAAAGTCTCGTTTACTCCACTGGTAGAAACTCCTTGAGCAGTAGCGAGTGGGGGCGGGAGGGGGGTGGTGGGGAAGATCGCCTCGTTAGCTCAGTCGGTATCATGCTTAACCACGTGGGAGAAGGACCTCGTTCTAATCCCAGACTTGGCATTCTTGAACTCTGGTTATTTTGTGTATTTTATAAGGTTCTGAACCCATTTGTCTCGATCTTATCGGAGACGGACGTTAAGTTTGGAGGTCCCACCTCTTAAATAACATAACCGTGTTGAGAGGGGTGTTAAACTGACACACTTACTTGCAAAGCAATAGCAAACCTTTCTAGTTGAACGCTTTGGGCTAAAATAAATCTGGGTTAACAGTTTAATCTTCAGAGTTTGACAAACCCTCCCCCCCCACTCTCACCCTAACCCTCTTTCTCCTCACCCTCCCCCTTCCAAGAAACAAAGACCTTCCCAGTACCTCCCACTCAAGTGTTTTTCAGTCTCTGCTCCCACTGACCCCAGTTTAGCCGACGATATAACTCTTAATCTGCATCCGGTGTTTCATTTTTAGTTTCAATTTCAAAGTAATAAGTGCGCGCTCATATGACCTTAGCAGTTGCGAGCGCCGTAAAACCTTATACTATACATGCAAAGTAATAAGTAGGCCTACTGCATAGTGGCGTCGATGGCCAAGTGACCCTACCCGTACTCGTGAGCTTGTCTTGCCGACTATATAAATCTGTACCGCAACCGATGTTTTAGTTTCAGTTTTGTAAGAGTCTAACGTTGCTCACAACTGCCTTTGGTCATAACGTGGCTGCACGAGAGTGAAGGTGGTTGTGCTCATGTCAGTTCTCAGCACGGTTTGATTTTACTTAATATTAAGTCGGAGTGGCTGAAGCTAGAAAGGTACGATCATCATCATCATCATCATCATTTTTTGGTAAGCAGGGTAGGAGGGAGAGTCTTGTTTTAATTTTAGACAAAAATAAAATAACAATA